ATAAAAGCTGATAAATAGCTAGTCAAATATAAGGGAGCCAAGAGAGCCCAAAAATTTAAATGATGAGACATTTTCAAGGAATGGAGTGGTCCTCTTGATTGAATTTTTGAAAGATGTTGTAAGATGTTTTAAAAAGTGAAGTGTCTCTTGGATTTGGTAACAGACATTTTTGTTGTTATTGACAACTTTCATTGAGTTCATTAATATATTGAAGAGAACTGAAGAATAAATGGGAGGTGAGAAAGTATAGGCATTTCTTTTAAGAGCTGGCTATGAAGAAGTTTACAGAGGTGTGTGGGTAACTGAAGAGCAAACCTAGACTCAGTCTTGAGCTTGAAGAGGCATACTATATAAACGTTACCAATCACTTTTCACTTTTTAGTCATTGCACAGATGCACAGAAGTAGTAAGTGACCTATCCTGCCTTATCCACATTCATAGCTCCTTCACTTGTTTTGAAGAAAGTTCCATCTTTCTGAGAGGTCTTTTATTTTTATTTATTTTTGTATTTATGTGTGCATATTGCCATGCATATGGGCACACATGTATGTGGGGGGGTGTGGGGGAGCAGGGATCAACCACAGGTGTCCTTTCTCAGGAACTGTCTAGCCACCTTGTTCCTTAGGAACTATGCATTAGAAATTATGTACAAGTTTGTAAAAAGGAGCTTACATGAATTACCTTTCAGAAGAGCTTATTAGAGGCACCATGAAAGGAGAATGCAGCCTTCAGGTCTGAAGAGGAGCTTCATTGGCAGAGAAAGTCACCATGTATAGAATGATAGGGAGTCTTAAAGAAAGAACCTTCAAACCCCCAGCACAAAGGGGGATTCTGACTGTTACAGGCTTTCAGGGGGTGGTGGGAAGTTCCACACAGTGGGCCTCAGCTTGGCCTGACCTATATGCCAAAAGGGCATCTGGGCAGCCATGAGGTAGGAACATAAGCTTACCTTACAGTTGTAAGGGGGTGGCTGGGCTTGTCCCCTCCCCAGGTTGAGTGCTCTGTCACAGCAGGTATTTATTAATTCTTTATCCTTAAGGGACAGATAAGAACAGGGGAGGGAGAGCCTGAAAGCTATGAGAATAACTATAGGCCTGTGATCTAGCATTGTCTGCTTTGGTTTTTGAGACTTGAGTGTTTTCAGTGGGACCCTGGGACTCACTGATTAGACTGGGGTGGCTAGCTAGCAAGCCCCAAGGGTCTACCTGTCTCCACCCCCCCGAGTACTGGGATACAAACCACACATTACCATGCCCATATTATTATGTGGGTTCTGGGGATCAAACTTAGGTTCTCATGCTTGTGTGGCAAGCACTTTCTTAAGGTCTTTCCCAACCCATGAAAGACCTTTAAAACCATAAACAACATACCATTATAACATACAAAGTTAATAATTCCTTAATAGTAAATCTCTTAACTTTTGTTCATATTCTCAGTTTTCCTATAGTGATCTAATTAAAAAAAAATAGGTTATAAATAAGGCACACGTTTTCTTATGGATAATAGCTTCTCTAATTCTTTTTATCTGTTATTTTCTTAGATGCTGTATGTTGAAAAAAACTGCCTTACCTGTCACATTCCTTAAAACTTATTAAAAACAGAGGTCGTTTAAATTGGCTCTAAGAATTGGCGAGATTACGTTTCTATTTTTTACATGACTGCTTAGGTAGTTGCTATGTATTCATGTCAGTTGGTTCTTAAAATCAGTTTCTCTTTTAGTGATGTTAATGTTTAATCCATTACAAGTTAAAAAATAGTGACATTCTATCCTTTATTATCATTAATAATTTTAAAATGAACAATGTCCTTGCTCCTTAGTTGCCAAGTGAATGGCATGAATAGAAAACAAGAGTAACAAACTGAAAAAAAAAAAAAACTGGGTTCTTTAGTATTCTCCTATAGTGGTTAAGTAGTTTGAGCTTTTAATGTCTTGTACTGGAGGCTTTAAGGATATCTGATATGTTTCAGTTTGTTACAGTTGGTGTTTTTATTGGTGTTCAAATTGTCCTATTGTCATTAGGACCCTCTTTGAGTTAGACACTGTCTAGATCTTCCAATAAGTCTTTGATTGTGACGTCTTTACAATCTGGAAGAACTGAATGTTCTTGTATTGTTCAGTATATGAGTCTCAGACTTAAAATTAAGTAATTCTCCAATGATGTGGTAGAGATGATAATTCCTGTTTGCCTCTCCTCCTCCTACCTCCCTTTCTCCCCCCCCTCCTGTTCCTCCTATCCTCCTCCTCCTCCATTTTAAAGTTTTATTTAGTGAGTTTTTGCTATTTTCATACAATATAGATGGATGGTCTTTAGATCCCCTCCCCTATCTGCACTTCCCTTCATTGCCCTCCTCTACCCAGTGTACTCTTATATATATAATATGACCCACAGAGTCTGAAATGTTCTTCAGTATGGATCTACCCCCTGGACTCACCAAGAGTAATCCTTGAAAGACACTGTCTCTCCCTCTCCCAGTAGCTATCAGATGCCAAAAGTTCCGTAGGTTAGGTTGGGATTTCTTACTTACCCTTGTCTATACTAGGATTTTGTCTAGTTTGAGCTTGCATAGGACTTGTACATGCTGTCACTGTTGCTGTGAGTTCATATGAGTAAGACCAGCTATATGGAAGTCTTGTTTCCTTGTCTACTCCCTCTGACTCTTACAGTCTTTCTACCTCCTCTTCCACAATGTCCCTGAGCCTTGGGAGGCAGAAGTTTGAAATAGGTGTCCTATTCAGGGATAAGTACACTGGAGTCTCTTGTTCTCTGCACATTGACCAATTGTGGGTTTCTGTGTTAATCACCATCTGCTGCATAAGGAAACTTCTCTGGTGAGAGGTGAGAGATGCATTCATCCTGTATGTAGAGGTTGTATTGAAGATGTGTCACTTAGGCTTTTTTCTTTTTTTGAGAGTCTCACTTTGTAGCTCAGACTAGTCCTGAAGTCTCCATCTTCCTTCCTCAGCCACCACCGTACTCAGCCATTATTTTAGCTTTTTGGGTTTTTTTCTTTTATAGTTGTGATATTAGGCATTTGGGGAGTTGGCTTTCTGGCTTTTGAATTTTAGATGCGTATTAAAGCAATTTTTAAATTACTTTTATTTCATTTTATGTGTATAAGTGTATTGCCTGCATGTAAGTGCACCCATGTTGGGCAATGCCTGTGGAGGCCAGAAGAGGGTGTGATAGTCCCACGGAGGCCAGAAAAGGGTGTTGGATACTCTAAAACTGTAGTTACAGATGGTTGTGAGCTGCCATGTAGGTGCTGGGATTTGAACCCAGGTCTTTTGCAAGAGCAGCCAGTGCTCTTAACCACTGATCCATCTCTCCAGCCCTAAAACTAGGAGGTGTCTGTCGCTTCTTGAACTAATTAAATCACTGTATTAGTAAAGTTCCTCTTTTGTTATTCTGTTTTTGGAACAACATCCTCTTATTACTTTGTGGGTTAAGTGAAAATTACTCTTTTGTGTTTTAAAAATATTTAAAAAAAATTTTTTTCCCTATGGATACTCTTTGGTTGATTTTTATTGTAACTTTTAACATATTATGCCTAAGGCCAGTTTTGCTTCCACATACTTGACCTATTTCAATCTGGTTTTAGGTAAGGGTCAAAAAATGGATTTTCTTTTTTTCTTTATGTATCTCACCACTTAAACTTGGAAATGTAATGGAAAAAAAGCAGAAAAGTTATTGTGGATTTGTTTAAATTTAAAGGTACTGAAAAAACTGTCAGTTGAAGAAACTTGTTTTCTCTGTTGAGACTTTATGTGTCATGTAGATCTGATCCTGTTGAGTTTCTTTTGTTCTGTGTGGTGGGGGGGACCTGGCGAGTAGTAGAGGAGTCTGCCATGAAGTGTACTTTTCAGAAAAGGAAGGAAGACAATGAGAACATGCGCAGACAGTTACTGCTAAGCCTAAAACATGTCACTTTTATTCATCTGTACAGAAAACAAGAGTGAGGCCAAGAGGAGGCGGACAGAGAGAGTTAGGAGAGAGAAGATAAATTCTACAGTAAATAAAGACTTAGAAAACAGAAAGAGGTCTCGAAGTAACAGCCATTCCGATCATATCAGACGAGGAAGAGGAAGACCTAAAAGTACATCTGCCAAAAAACATGAGGAAGAAAGAGGTATGAATGAATCCCAGCTTTTTTTCAAGTACTAAATTGATCAGCGATCATAATCAGATAGTAGTAATGAAGATAGTAAAGGTTTTTGAACTTGTGGACTTAAAAGTCATAGTTCCTATTTTAACTTAAAAGCTTTTTTTCAGGGTTGGAGAGAGGGCTCAGTGGTTAAGAACACTGGCTGCTCTTGCAGAGGACCTGGGTTCAAACCCCAGCACCCATATGGCAGCTAACTCTGGTTCCAGGGACTATGATAACCCCTTCTGGCCTCCTTGGGCACTGTCCAACACAGGTACACTTACTACATACATGCAGATGTAACACTGATACACATAAAATAAAAATCAGAAAAAAAAAAAGCTTCTTTTCAACCCTTGTATGCTATTTATTGAGCCTAGGGCTTCATACATGCTAGATGAACCTCTACCATTGAGCTCAGCCCTTAGATACTTTGTTTTAAAATAAAAACACAATACAGATTCTTACTTAGAAACCTAAAAGCTTAAATTAGGCAAAATTCATTTTTCTATAAACGGAATGCTTTCTATACTGAAACAATTTCTATATAGTTAAGTAAGTTCTTCTTGATCCAAAGTATGTTTGTTTCTCCTTACAGGCCCTTTTTCTTACTTCTGATAAGTAACCCGTCTACCAGTAACTTATTTCTAACTGTTAACTAGAACTTCAGCTTCTCTTTTTGATTAATACATCTTTAAAAAAAATTTTTTTCTCATGGAAAATTTCAATATATAAAAGAATAAGAAAAGTAGTATAATGAACCCTTATAATACCCATAAATGCCTAAAATTGAGACTTTTTAAGCTAGTAATTAATGGAGGGGGAAAAAAGATAGTTTATATTTCTTTAGAACTCTTAGCCCAAGCAATTTCATCTTCAGTAGACTACATTTATAATTGTTATTTGTGAGAAATGCTTTGTTTTTGTTCAGATACTCATTTTAGGTATACAGCTACCTCTGTATAAATTGAGCTGTAATTGGAGACAGAATTTTTCACCATTTCTTGATGCTTTATTTGCTTTTAACTGAATAAAGTTGGTGATATTGGAGGAAATAACTCCAGGCATAGCTGTCTCTATCTTTTTATCAAACTTCAAATTGTCTTAATATTGTGCAATGAAAGGGATAAGGTCTATGACTTCATTAACTGTTGTATAAATGCCCCTCTTAAATAGCCCTTAATTCCTGAGGTGGCTTTGCTGTGCTTTCTCTTTCCCTTTGTCACACTCTCCCAGGAAGTTTTGAGTTGTTTGCTTAATTAAATGTGCTTCTTTAACAATGGGATCATCAGATCATCTTACTTGAAAGACTTATTCTGTTCAGAAAAGACAACATAGAAATACCTCTTGATCCAGGAAACAACATTCTTTTTAGTTGAAGTAAAGGATGTAGAACTGAAGAAATGAGGAAGGAATGCTTTTGATTATGAGATTAAAAAACAAATCACAATCACGAGAGGTTAGGATACCGCTTCCCCAGCACGGCTTCCCGCCAGGCCGCCATGGCAACCAGAAAGGCGGCACTGGGCTCCAGAGATGGAGATCGAGCACTGCTGCACCAAGTGGGAGCGGATCCCCCCCGCCCCAGCTCATCATGCATCTGTAGACCAAGTTCATTGCTAGTGATGACATGAATGAACTTCTCTGGGAGTTAAAGCTAGTTCGGCACTTGAAGTTCTCGAGAAGCCTCTGCTGCAGGGAGCCAGTCCCCCACAGGGCCAGCTGACCAAAGTGCACAAGCATTTGACTGCTGCCATGAACCCAGGGAACCTCAAGTCAGAATTCCTCTAAGAATCCAGTCTAATCATGGCCAAGTTGAAACTGCAGATGATTGTGGAAGTCTACACTACCAGAGATGGAGGGTTGGCAGAGGAGAGTCTTGAAGAGGACTTTACCCTTACGCATTTATAGCACTGTTCTCAAAAGATATCACAGGTTGATAGCCATCTGGATGATAATGGCCCCATGGTTGCTGCAGCTGCTTCTCAGTGCTGGAACAACTTGAGTGACTGGGGGAGAGGGACTTCATGGGCTTCTCCAACATGGCCATGGCAGCCTGCTCCCAGCAGAGCATGCCCTGGCTCAACAGCTGAGAACTGAGTGGGGATCTGTGCAGTGGGCAAGAGCAGAACCCAGACGCCTGGCCATCTTGGGCCTGTCCAGTCTATCCAGAGGATTATATCCTAAAGATTTTAGCCAGAGTAGCATACTTTTAGCCAAATAAAGCAGCTATGTTCCAGGGGATCCAACACCCTCTTATGACCCTGCTGGCATTACAGGACATGAGTGTACTTATATACATGCAGAGAGAAACACTGAGAGCCTGAGAACTTAAGGAAAGAAAGAAAACTAGAACTGTGGTTCCCTCCTGTAAGCTGAAGTCATGGTCCCTCCCCATGAGCTGGAGCTGTGGTCCTCTCCTGTGAGTGGAAGCAGCCTCTCCTGAGAGCTGGAGCCATGGTTCTTCCTATGAGCTGAAGCTGTGGCTCTTCTGTGGGCTGGAGCTGTGGTCCTCTCCTGTGAGTGGAAGCAGCCTCTCCTGAGAGCTGGAGCCATGGTTCTTCCTATGAGCTGAAGCTGTGGCTCTTCTGTGGGCTGGAGCTGTGGTCCTCTCCTGTGAGTGGGAGCATCCTATCCTTAGAGCTGGAGCCTTGGTTCTTCCTATGAGCTGAAGCTGTGGCTCTTCTGTGGGCTGGAGCTGTGGTCCTCTCCTGTGAGTGGGAGCATCCTATCCTTAGAGCTGGAGCCTTGGTTCTTCCTATGAGCTGAAGCTGTGGCTCTTCTGTGGGCTGGAACTGTGGTCCTGCCTATAAGCTGGAGTCATGGACCCTTCCCACGGGTTGGAGCAGTTGTGGTCCTCTCTTGTGAGCTGGAGATGTGGCCCCTTCCTATGGGCTAGAGCAGTGGTCCTCTCCTATGAGCTGGAGCTGTGATTCCCCTCCTGTGAGCTGGAGCTGTGGACCCCCATCTCCCCTGGTAAGCTGGAGTTGTGGTCCCCTCCTGTGAGCTGGAGTAGTGGTTCCCTCCTGTTAGCTGGAGTCGTGGTCCTCCCCTGTGAGCTGGAGCTGTGGAACTAACTGGCCCCTTCCTATGGGCTAGAGCAGTGGTCCTCTCCTATGAGCTGGAGCTGTGATTCCCCTCCTGTGAGCTGGAGCTGTGGACCCCCATCTCCCCTGGTAAGCTGGAGTTGTGGTCCCCTCCTGTGAGCTGGAGTAGTGGTTCCCTCCTGTTAGCTGGAGTCGTGGTCCTCCCCTGTGAGCTGGAGCTGTGGAACTAACCCCCCCTACCCCCCCCCACACCACCCCTATGAGCTGGAGTTGTAGGTCCCCTCCTATGCTCTTATGAGCTAGAGTAGCGGTCTCCTCCTGGGAGCTGGAGCTGTGGACTCCCCCCTTCCCTGGTGAGCTGGAGTGGTGGTTCCCCTCCTGTGAGCTGGAACTGTGGCTCTTCCTATAAGCTGGAGCAGTGGTTCCCTTCCTGTAAGTTTGAGTCCTGGTCCTCTCCTGTGAGCAGGAGCTGTGGTTCCCCTCCCGTGAGCTGGAGCTGTGGTCCTCTCCTATGAGCCGGAGTTGTGGTTCCCCTCCTATGAGCTGAAGCTGTGGCCCTCTTCTGTGAACTGGAGCTCTGGTTCCCCTCTTGTGAGCTCGAGCTATGGTTCCCCACCTGTGAGCGTGAGCTGTGGCTCCCCTCTTGTATGCTGGAGCTGTGGTCCCCTCCTGAGACAGAGCTATGGTTCCCCTCCAGTGATCTGGAGCTATGGCCCCCTCCTGTGAGAGGTATCTGTGGTACCCTCATAATAATATAGACTCCCAGTCCCAGGAAGGATGATTGGAATGAACTGTGCTGGAGCAGGTGCTCACCCACTATTGAAGATTAATGCATCTTTCAACTCTCACCAGAGAAGTTTCCTTATGCAGCAGATGGTGATTGACCCAGAAACTTATGCCTTTCTAATATGCCGGAAGGAAAGGGCTGCAGACGCTTATCTCTGGGTGGGATTCGTCTGTCAGGCTTCGGGAGTTCAGGACTTGGGAATCATTGCAGAGGAGGAGGTGGAAGGATTGTAAGAGCTAGAGGTGGTGGGTGACTGTGGTGGGGGGCAGAGTTCTCCAGACAGCTGGCCAGTTACTCATATGAACTCACAGCAGTGGTGACAGCATGGACAAGTCCCACATAAGCTCAATCCAGACAAAAATTGGAGCACAGACATGGGGAAGTAGTAAGAAACATCAACCCAACCTAAGGAACTTTTGGAAACCACTGGACTCTGGGGGGGGATGCAGGGAGGTGTGAATGGGAGAGGGGCTATAAATGTCATCAAATTATATTGTCTGGAAATTGCAAAAATTCAATAAAAATGTGCATTAAAAAAATAATGGGGAGACAGGCTGTATTTTTGAGTGTATATTTGCTTATGTATGTAGAATTGAAAATTATTACTTGAAAAAGGATGCATTTATTTGACAGTAAATATTTTTCAGATCATTTCAGTTTATTCTAGAATATTTGTAAGAAAGCTATTAAAATAAGCTATGCTTTTTTTTGGTTGCTACAAATTTCAGGAAACTGCATAGCATAAATTGGATTTTTCTTTTCTTTCTTTTTCATTTTTTGAAGAATACATCTTGATGTTTAACCTATACTGGCCTCTAACTCATGGTCCTCCTGCATTATCCTCTGAGAGCTAGAATTATAGGCATGTCACATCATGTTTGGAATAAAGTGAGCTCTTTTAATGTACATTGGGGGTCTCAGCAAACTTTTTCTGTAAGAGCCTAGTAATATTTTAGCCTTTGTGAACCTTACAGTCTGTCTTAGCTACCAAACTCTGGAAAGTAGCCATAGACGGTATGTAAGTGAATGGAGATGGCTGTGTTCCGGGAACTATAAGGACAGGAGCCGGGTGAGGTTTGCTTCCACCTAGATGCAGTCCATTGTTCTTTTAGATGTAACAGAGCTGGGACTGCTGAACCTTGCTGAGTGTTACATATTTTACAGTAAAGTTCTTTGGTAATGCTTTGTAGGACTGAGCAGCTATTTAATTCTGTTTTTATTGGTTGCTTGCTCTTCAGGCACTTGAAAACCATGAAGCAAGGTTTAATTTTAACACAATGAATTAAGAAAACTTGATATTATGATTAAAAACATTTTAAATTGACTTTATTGTTTTTATTTTGAAAAAGAGACAGGAAGAGGAGAGATGGAAAGTCCCCTACCCACCAAGTTGATGTTTAAAAAGGATTAAGGAAAAAAAGATTTGGTCTAGGGAACACCAGGCAAGGGTAAGGACAAGGATACTGTATTAAGCTCAGGAATACTAAGTGAAGATTGGACATGGTAAATACGGGGCTTTCTGGCTGAGTTCATGTCTTTCAGGTAAAAGAGATTGCAAGTAATCTTTCCCAGGAAATCTGGAGAGCCCAGGAGAAAAGGCCTACAATAAACATGTTGTTATTTATAAGTTCACAAAGAAATGGCCTAGTTAGACCATCCTTATCTGATAGGTCTCACCTATGTTCACATGCTGCTTTTAATCACCTCTTTGGTTCCACTTTTAATTGTGAACATATTACAAGGAATTACCCAGGTGTCTAGAAGAAAGTAGTAGAAAGTGCTAAAAATAAAGAAAAGGTAATGGAAAACAAACAGGGAAAGGAATCAGTTCTTAATATCCTTAACAACAAAAAAGAGACTAGCCAGGAAACAAGAACAAAATGAAGTGAACCTGGAAAATGGACTTCAAAATATGAACTCTAAAAAATATTTTAAAAACCTAAAACATTAAGTAATTTACAAAATGAAAAACTTCAATAGAAGGTTTAAAGATAGAATTGAAGAAATATTCTGGAAAGCATAGAAATAAGAAAAGATAGAAAAATAGAATGGAGAAGATAAGAAATGTAAAGGACCAGCCTGAAGGTTTAACAGAAAACAGAATGTAAAAGATGGAGGACCAGGGAATTATCAATGGAATAATTCCACCACTCTCCAAACTTGAAGGACATTAACCTTTCACTCATGAAATTCTCAGCCCAGTGGATGGTTAAAAATTAAACCAAAGCATATCATCACTCTGTGATTAAAGAAAAAATAATCTTAGGTACTTAGACAAAGAATGTTGTCTAAGGAGGGGTTGTCTAGGGAGGGGTTGACTAGAAAAGAGCATGAATTTTCTGAAGTGAAAGAGGTTTTCTCTTTCTTGATTAGCATATGGGTTGCATGAATACAGGCATTGTCAGAATTTATTCAGTTTACCTAAAGGATCTATGTATTTCACTGTATGTGAATATAGTAGTAATTTTAAAAATAACTTTAAAAAGGTTTTAGGTTTTCGCAACAGTGATACCAGTAGTCAGAAGACAATTTATTTCATTTACTAATGGGAAGTCTACAAGTCTTTTTCAGTCAAACTGCAACTGCATGTGAACATAGACTTTTATGATATTCGGGGTTTCAAAAACTGTGCTACCTGTACTCCTTTCTCAGGAAGCTACTACAAGTTACATGCCACCTAAAAGAAGTAAACCAGGAAAGAATGCTGGGATCCAGGATCTGACTTGAGAGAGTGAGAAGGAAAATGTCCAGTTGAAGAAGGCTCACAAGATGATAATTACCCTGTAGGCCTAGAGAGCAGCTATTTCAGATGGAGCAGTTTGGAAGACTTGGCAAGATTTCAAGAAGACAAAATTATGTGTAAAGATCTGAAAGAAGATCTATACAACTAGGAGAGAGTATGAATTGGATTAGAAATGGAAACTAAGCAAATGAAAAGAATCATTTAGGGGCTCAGCTGTTAAAGGTGCTTGCTGGCAATCCTGACCACCTGCATTTGATCTTTGAAGCTCACATTGAAGAACTCCACATGCACACAGTGGCATGAGTGCTGTATACATACATTACAAAGGTTGAATAAATAAATAAAATCATTTCAGGGAAAATAGTGGTACAGGAAAAGTGAAATCTCTCACATAGTCATAACAACGTAAACATTGAAAATTGATTTTACTAAAATTGTGATTTAAGCATGAGAAGGTGAGGGATATGCAGAGTATTTTGAGGTAGGTACAAGAGATGCAAAACCAGTATTATCTAGTTTTCCATAATAGAAAGTAAATAATGCATAAACCCAAGAAGTAGCAGTTTATAGAAATGTTACTTAGGAGTGGAGGAGATGACTCGAGCACTTGCTTCTTTTCCAGGGGACCTGAGTTCAGTTCTCAGCACTCACACTGGGTGGCTCACAGTTGCCTATAACTCCCAACTCCAGGTGATCCAACACCCTTTATCTGGCCTCTGTGAGCAGTATACTCATGAGGCATAAACTTACTGAGCGATACACATAAAAATTGTTTTAAATGTTAACTTAGATTTGTTTTTATAAAAACAGAAAGGAATGATTTAAGGGGAGAAAGTAGATGTTGTTTGGAGAGTAAGAAATGTGCACAAGGGATGTACTTTTTAACCTGTTCTACAATAAATTGGCTAAATTATATGCATGTTTAACTGATTCTGCTATCAAAATACAACACACAAGTAGAATCATAGTAGAACTTGGAAAATAATTTAGAAGATATAATTTACAAGTTTTATCTTATGAGTTTATAGAGGCTTTTTGTTTTTCTTCTTTAATTTTCAAAATTTCTACTGTAAACTTGGATGGCATTTGTAATCGGGAGGAGAAAATACCAATACAAAAGTTGATTATTGTTTCTGAAGCAAAGGCTAAGGTGAATATGTTAATATATGCAGAAAGTTATCATTGGTGTTCAGAAGGGACCATTCTTTAGGCTAAGAAAATCAATTTTGATAGAGATAGTTCATACTAACGAGGAGAAAGAAATATATGAGATTCTTACAGAAATGATGTGATTTCCCTAGAAATTGTATAGAATTATAGACTCCAGTTGGTCTTCATTTCAAAATCCCTTAGTGTAATTTTTTTGAAAATTCAATTTAGTAGAATAATATTAAATTGTATATTACAGTATCATGTATATTTATCATGTAAATAAATACTTGAAAGCCTCAAAACTGTTTTGAAACTACTGTATCTGCTACCTATTAAGCTTTCTCTTTTTTCTTTCAACAGAAAAACAGGAAAAGGAAATTGACATCTATGCTAACCTCTCTGATGAAAAGGCTTTCGTGTTTTCAGTTGCTTTGGCAGAAATAAATAGAAAGATTATCAACCAAAGACTTATTCTTTGATACTTGCCTGCAAAATCTGTTGAAACTTTCTTCAGGATTACATCAGCAAATTCTCAAACAGTTATGGACCCTTGGGAGCATTCTGACTGTACAGATAAGGGTCATTGATTGTTTTTTTCTGTTACATAGTCAGGTACCACACTTTGGGAGCAAAGCTGTGGGTTTAGACTATGCTGGGATTTCCTTGTTTACCAAGGAGTATTATCAGTGTTTTTGTTTTGGATATAACTAATTGTATTTGCCATAAAAACAAACAAAAAACCCCCACCAACAGCCCCAAACCCTGCAAACTGGGCGGATGTTAAGAAGATTAAAGGAATAGGAGTGAGAGTAGAAATACAAAAACTAGGAAAATAAAGCGCTGCATAGTTTTCAGGTTTCCCACCAGAGATGCAGTATTTTAAGCACTGTCAGAAAAGTGAGTTAAATATATGTAGGTATTTCAGATTTTCAGCACTAACAGATTGCATATATGCAATTCATTGACTTTTAAGAAATTAGTAATTGATATTTTATTGAATGGAGAATTAAGAATATAGACTGTAAATTCTGTCTTCAGTTGGTTTGTTTGTTTTTGACCACTGTTTTCATGATTTAAAGTGGGAGTTATATTTTCAGAGACTTTCTACACAGTTTGGAAATTTGGGTGCTATATGAAGAAAAACATTTAAGGATATTTCATACTTCAGATACAAACACCTGTTTTCTTGAATGTTTATTTATTGGTTTTAAACTTCTGTTGTCAAGATGGTGCCTGTTAACCTAAACACAAGATCTATTTATTACATACAACATATTTCTTAGCCACTAGTAAGCAGTGATATCTAAATGAATGTTCATTTTTACATTCTGGTAATTATTTAAACTGTTACTTAATCTCATCCTGGAAAAAAATAAACTTTAATATTGAAAGTGAGTAAATAGTGTGATATAGCTTCTTGTCCTAGTGAAGTTTGTAAAATAGCTCTTAACTTTTTTAGTGTTAGATCATTGTTCCTTTAGCTTATTTCATAGAACCACATGCTTTTGCATTTTGCACACCAGTTTAATGGTAACCTCTTCACATGCAAGTTTCCTTCCTTTAATCTCTCCTTCCCCATTCTTGTAATTCTTACAGCCTTCTTAAGGAAATTTTAGTCATTGGTTAGATTTTTTTGTTTTGAGGGTTTTATTATTAATGACGTGTTCGCATGTGTCTGTGTGAACGTGTGTACACATGTATGCAGGTGCCTGAGGAGGCCATAAGAGGGTGTTGGATTCCCTGGAGCTGGAGTTACAGGTGATTGTGTGCTGGCCTACTTGGGTGTTAGGGACTCTTACCTACCAAGCCATCTCTCCAGCTCTTGGTTAGACTTTCTGCCTATTTAAGATAATCCCCACCTTTTCTTTCCTTTTTCTAAAAGCATATATATGTTTATTTTTGAGACATGAAAATTGTACATAATTATTGGTGACAGGGTAGCAGGCATGTCCTTCACCTGTGACATCATTCCTTGGTATTGTGAATATTTGCATTTCTCTCTAGTAGCTATTTTGAATTGTCAGCCACTGTTCCCTTTTAGTCTCAACAGTTGTCAGTTTCATCCCTCATCTCAGCTTATATTTCCTCTCACATCCCAAAAGAAAACCAGTCTGCATTTTTTTCTCCTTTAAATTGGTAGCCAGCAGAGGAAGATTAAATGGAACTCTGATAGGATTTAGAATTTTCCTAAGAAAATCCTACCTCTCTCCCCTCCCTCTTTTCCTCTCCCTATCCCCCGCCCCCAACTTTTCTTCCCTCCCAGGTTGCTCATTGGCTTTTTAAGACAAGATTTTGCCATGTAGGGTTCCCCAAACTAGCTACCCTGGAACTCATGATCCTCTTGTCTCAGCATTAATTGCCTTTACTACCTGCAGCTATTATTATAGTTATATGCATTTGAAACTCCTAATAATATGTTTTCCTAAGACTGTAGAATGGAATGTGATTTGTATCTCTGATAAAAATAGCAAAAGCTGGGGCTAGAGAGATAGCTCAGTGGTTAAGAGCACTGACTGTTCTTGCAGAGGACCTGGGTTTGATTCCCAGCATCCGCATGGTGGTTATGAACCGTCCTTAACTCCAGTTCCAGGGGAATCTGAAGCCCTCTTCTGACCACCGTGGCATTGCACAACACGGGTACACTCACATACAGGCAATACACTCCTACACATAAAATAAAAATAATAAATAAAAAAAGCAACAGCTATTCCAATTTTGAGGAAGAAAGCTTAAAAGTCATTGATATCTAAGAATGTGTGTGTGTGTGTGTGTGTGTGTGAGAGAGAGAGAGAGAGAGAGTAGCTTGTAGAGCAAGCATCTCTTTAAAGAATTGCTGTCAGAGTTTATCTCCTTAAAACTGAAGATTGGGAGAAAAGTTATGCTAAAATTTCATTGAATATGGAATGGGTGGAAAAAGTAATTGTAGAAAATAATTATTTGGACCCAATCACACGTGTCCTCCTGGATTTGGGGAGGGCTAAAGTATACAATCTGGGGAAGGCTAGGAAGAGAAGGCATGACCCATGCTGGGTAAAGGCTTTCCAGTGTGCATACCCTCAGGTCATACATAAACCTCAGCAACCCCTCTGTTATCTTGGAAAGTAAGCTCAATAAATTCATTGATTCCCCAGTAAAACTTTAATCAAATATTGTCTTGACACTAAAACCTTAGAAGGGAATAAGCATTGCTTAGCATCCTCAGGAAAAGAAGTCTCATAACAGATGGAAAATTTGTTAATGCTATTATGTCTCATTAAAAAAAAGAATGTAAAAGATGTTAAAAGGATATGGGAATAGAGATACTTTCCAAAATAGAAAAAATGAGAAAGCCTAAGCAAGTGATGAAGGTCTGTGTAGATTTGTTATGATCTATAAAAGATGAGACCAAATAATCTACACATAATCTTAAAATTTCTGTGGTCATAGTTTAGGCAACTAGTTTAAGGAACAAAATATATATCTAGTCAAGGTTTATCTGAGAATATTTGTTTTTTTTACCCAAGCCTTATCAACATAGCACATGACATTTAAAAGTACCAACCTTATTGGATGTTTTAACAGCCATTAGTTTTAGGCCTATACTGATGTAGTCAGAGGGACTTAAAGGACAGTTTTTGCCCCTTGCCCTCCAAGGTCGAATAAGTTCCAGGGGAACATGGAACATCTCTCAAAATATCCTGTAACTGGTGAGTCACCTGCCGTCTTGTTACAGGGAGGACATGGAGACCCTACCAGATAGACTTGAACCAGTGTGCAGTCTACAAAGAGGAGGGTCAACTCAGAGGAAACATCTCATTCATGCTTCCAAGTGAAACCAGACATGGTCGAACAGGACCTTTGATTTATCTTCACACAGATGGAACTGGTAAAAGAAAGCCAGGAGCTCCTTCCAAGCCCATGTGACCCATGAGGAATAGACCCTCAAATGACCTTAAGTGTAAAAATAAATTGATTTATTTGGGCCAAACACCCAAAAGGAAAGTATAACCAAAGAGTTAAGTCAGTATATTTCTTTAAGAGTTCAAGGGATT